TTCTTCCAAGTTGTCCATTTTATTGGCATAGAGCTGCTGGTAGTAGTCTCTTATGATCCTTTGTATTTCAGTGTTGTCTGTTGTGATCTCTCCATTTTCGTTTCTAATTTTGTTAATTTGGTTCTTCTCCCTTTGTTTCTTAATGAGTCTTGCTAATGGTTTGTCAATTTTGTTTATTTTTTCAAAAAACCAGCTTTTAGCTTTGTTGATTTTTGCTATGGTCTCTTTTGTTTCTTTTGCATTTATTTCTGTCCTAATTTTTAAGATTTCTTTCCTTCTACTAACCCTGGGGTTCTTCATTTCTTCCTTCTATAATTGCTTTAGGTGTAGAGTAAGGTTATTTATTTGACTTTTTTCTTGTTTCTTGAGGTAAGACTGTAATGCTATGAACCTTCCCCTTAGCGCTGCTTTTACAGTGTACCATAGGTTTTGGGTTGTTGTGTTTTCATTTTCATTCATTTCTATGCATATTTTGATTTCTTTTTAAAAATTTCTTCTATGATTTATTGGTTATTCAGAAGCGTGTTATTTGGCCTCCATATGTTTGAATTTTTAATAGTTTTTTCCCTCTAATTGAGATCTCATCTTACTGCGTTGTGATCAGAAAAGATGACTGGAATGATTTCAGTTTTATTGAATTTACCAAGGCTAGATTTATGGCCCAGGATGTGATCTATTCTGGAGAAGGTTCCGTGTGCACTTGAGAAAAAGGTGAAATTGTTTTGGGGTGAAATGTCCTATAGATATCAATTAGGTCTAGCTGGTCCATTGTGTCATTTAAAGTTTGTTTCCTTGTTAATTTTCTGTTTAGTTGATCTATCCATAGATATGAGTGGGGTATTAAAGTCTCCCACTATTATATCAAATACCTTTTTAAAAGTGTTTAGGGACTTCCCTGGCGGTCCAGTGGTTAGGATACTGCACTCTCACTGCCCAGGCTCTGTGTTCAATCCATGGTCAGGGAACCAAGATCCCACAAGATGCATGGTGAGGCCCACAAAAAGAAAGTTTATTTTATTTTATTTTATTTTTAGTTCTACCACTGTATTGCTACCAACCCATCTCCCTCCACCCTCTTGCACACATGCTCAGTCATGTAACCCCATGGACTGCAGCCCGCCAGTCTCCTCTGTCCATGGACTTTTCCAGGCAAGAATACTGGAGTGGGTTGCCATTTCCTTCTCCAAGAAAGTTTATTTTCAAGTAATAAATATTTAAACTGATAAATATTTAGTGTAAAAAAATTTAATGTAATTTCCTATTATCCCAATACTAACTGATAACTGAATATTTGCATTTACATATTTTTAATAAATTGCAATCATAACCTGCTTTTGTTTAGACTCAAAATATACCATTTTCTTTGTCCAAAAATTGCATATTATTACTCTTAATGACTGCCTTAGTATAGTCCAAATTTTGTGTTGACTATTTAGATTATATTTTCAGTTGTTTCAGTATTATAAACAGTGCTTTATCAAGTAACCACATACATACTCATTTTTTAATTTAATTTTCTTTTAAGGATAACCTAAAAGTGAAATTGCTAGAACAAAAAGTATGTACTTTTCAGAGTGGCTTTTGATACACTGTTGTCAAAATGGTTCCCATGGAGCATGTGCCAGTCCATACTTCCACCAGCCTAGTTCCCAACATTGGTATTATTGCTTTCCTCCATCTAACTAGTACCAGATATTATAATTTTTTCCATTTCTTAGGCTAAAAATATTTAGATTGTTAAAACTGGAAGAGACCTTGCAGATCCAGCCCATTCTGATTACTGTGTGTTAGTTGCTCAGTCGTGTCTGACCCTTTGCGACCCATAGACTGTAGCCCACGGGGCTCCTCTGTCCATGGAATTTTCCAGGCAAGAATACTGGAGTGGGTTGCTATTTCCTCCTCCAATTCTGATTACTGTCTTACTACAGTTTTTAGTATGGGTGAGAAAATTCTCTTGTTTATACTCTATTTTAAAACAATCATATATAGAGTGTCTTATGTAATCACTTGTAATGGCAAAATCCCTGACCCTGGTAACTTTGTTTAGATTACTTTTTATAAGTGTCCAAGGTTTTGTAATTGTCTGTGAAAATCATTCTGATCTATAGTGTGATTAAAATAGAAATGCTTATTGCAGACATCAGCTTGGAGAAGTATCTTATTTTCATCTAGAGAGCTCTGTTGCTTTCACAATGCCTCTCTCTTAGTGGTGGTGCCTCTGAAGTACCAGCTTTGAGATGTTTCTGTTTCTGTCTTGTGTCTATGATCCATTTCACTAAACATTTTTGTATGGTGTGTCATCCCTGTGATTTCCTAATAAATGACTCTGTTTTTGTTTTTATACTGCTAATGGTACATTTTCATCTTGTCAAATTTCTACCTGTGTGGAATTTCACTCTCTGTTCTCATTTATCCACAGGCATCCACAATATAATCCAATATGTAAACATGCCCCTGCTTAGGCTTAGTGGTGATGAATTGAAGAGTCCCATAGTGCTTCGCAAGTCAACGGCGATGATGCCTTTCCAGGAGAAAGTAGAAATACCTTCCAAGACTAGTGTGGGAGTGGCCCACAAGGCGAGTGTGGAAGTGCTCCCTGAAGTGAGCGTTGAAGCACTCACCAAGGCAAGCTTGGATGAATCCCCCCAGGTGAACATGGAAGCACCCCCTATAGAGAGTGTGGAAGCATTCCCAGAGGAGAGCATGAAAGAACACCCCAAGGTGAGTGTGGAAACACTCCTGGAGGTGAGCATGAAAGAACACTCTGAGGTGAACGTGGAAGCACTCGCGGAGGAGAGCATGAAAGAACACCCCAAGGTGAGTGTGGAAACACTCCTGGAGGCGAGCATGAAAGAACACCCTGAGGTGAGTGTGGAAACACTCCTGGCGGCGAGCATGAAAGAATACTCTGAGGTGAACATGGAAGCACTCCCGGAGGAGAGCATGAAAGAACACCCTGCGGTGAATGTGGAAGCACTCGCGGAGGAGAGCATGAAAGAACACCCTGCAGTGAGTGTGGAAACACTCCTGGAGGCGAGCATGAAAGAACACCCTGAGGTGAGTGTGGAAACACTCCTGGAGGCGAGCATGAAAGAACACCCTGCGGTGAATGTGGAAGCACTCGCGGAGGTGAGCTTGGAAGCACCCCCCAAGGTAAGTGTGGATGGACTCCCAGAGGTAAGCACAGAAGAACACCCCAAGGTGAGCATGGAAGCACTAGCAGAAGTGAACATGGAAGGACCCTCTGTGAATGTGGAAACATCACCTGAGACAAGTGAGGACCTATCCCATGAAGCACATGTGGACTCATCCCCAGATGTGAGTGTGAACCCATCTCCGGAGGTGAGTATAGACTCATCCCAGGAGATGAGCACGGAAGCATCATCTGAGGCTAGTGTGGACATATCTCCTGAGGCGAGCATGGAAACACTCCCCGAGGAGAGTGTGGAAACATCCCCCAAGGAGAGTGTAGAAGCATTCTCAGAGATAAGCATGGCTGCACTCCCAGAGGAGAGTGTGGAGGTGCTCCCCAAGGAAAGCACGAAAGGGCCTTCTGAGGCAAGTGTAGAGGCGCCCCTGGAGACCTCCCCTGAGGTGACCGTGGAAATATCTTCCAAGAAATCAGAAATGGACAAACAGCCCTCAAATCCTATTACCAAGAAGCGCATACCACCATCGCAGATCCCGTGTTATAGATGGTCGTCATCTCCTACAAGAAGGTGGCGTCCACCATCTCCCATCAGTACTAGCAGGCAAAGTCAAAAGAATTGCCCCCTATCACCTTCACCTGGCATGTCAAAACAATCGACACAGTTTTGTTTTTCTTATAAAGTAACTCCTATGCAGTGTACTGTACTTGCACAAAATGCATTAGGTACTATGGGAATGAAAAGCAAAGCCGGTTCTAACACCATTAACAACTCTGAGACTGCAAGCCAAAAGGATATGATCTGTGAAGAATCTGGTAATAAAGGCACACCAGGACCTAAGAATGCTGAGGAGGCAACAAAGATTTTGGCAGAAAAATGACGCCTTGCTCGTGAACAAAAAGAAAAAGAAGAAAGACTACAAAAAGAGATGGAACAAAGGAAAATGAAAGATGTAGCAAAGAAAGTGGATGAAGGTCAAGAAGACAAATTTTCAAAATTTGGAGATGGGCAACAACCAAAGGAGATGAAGAAGAGAGAAAGTCAGGAACAAGAAGACCAAAAAGTAGAACTCCAGGTTTGCTGGCTCTCCTTGAGAACCAGATTGTAAAATTCAGTCGAAACCCAAAGCAAAAGTCTGTTTATCCAAGAAAGAAAATGACCAGATGCTGCATGCTCTGGTTGCATTTTTACATTACAGTCTAGCTTTTACCCAGTGTTGCTATCAGTCCTCCTAGAATCCTAGAATGTTTTCCAAGTGAAACAAAAGCAGAAAGCAGCAAATTACAGATTAGCATTCCTCTAGTTTATCTACATAAATATTACAGGTTGGCTTCAAGAAATCCAAATTGCTCACAAAGATTAAATATCCTGTGTGAATTTTCCCAATCATGCATTCTGTGGTGACAGCTGCGCCACCCCCCTCACAGATCAGTTGAAAATTATGAATGCCTTAGCAAATTCATCAATTAGAATGTCTCACTAGTGTAAGTTTAAATCACCTAGTAAATAAATCCCAAAACTGAGCTAAGACAATATTCAGTTTAAATTATTATTATAGCCTGATTTATATAAAAGTTTTGGTGTATCATTTATCAAAATCAGTTATGTGTTTCATAAATGACTATCCATTTGCATTCCTTGAGAAAGTATCTTTGAGAATCCTCTTGGTGCTTTTGAAGTGTAAGACTTGGCTCCTGGTATCTGTGTCAGTGGAAGACTACACTGTCACATATTTCAAAATGATAGTGGTCTGACAACCTTGAGGTCCTGAAGGGGATTAACGTGCCTTCTAAATCCCTAGCCATAATAGTTATCCTAGTTCTGTACATTTTTGCTAACACTTTGAAAACTGATGATCCATGAATGTTGTATATATGAGTACTCTCAATCCAAAGGTTACATTTTATTTTGGATAACGTCTTACTGTTGCACTGTTGTCATTCAGATATATTGAGAGTCAGTGATATTTTTATACAAATTTCCTAGAAAAGTGACGCCAAAATAAAAGCTCAGGAGGAGGCTGACAAACGCAAGAAGGAGCATGAGAGGATTATGTTACAGAATCTGCGAGAGAGATTAGAAAGAAAAAAGGTATGCCTCCTCTCTGTTGGGGGGATTTGATTCCTTGTTCAAAACAATGTTGGGTACATGATTCCAAACTATGTTTTTAAAAATGACAAGTGATATGCTAGCTGGGGTTGTTTTTCCTCTGTACTCTCTCATCTTAGGATCTGACCCCTTCTCCCTAGAATGGGCTCCTCTTAATAACCTTAGCTCGTCCTTGTGGACCACTGATGACTATCACAGGGATGTCTCTCTATAGCAAACCACTGGGAACAAAGCTCCTTTGAACCGAATCCCTTGTGTCATGGTAGGGGTTGGTAGAAGTTTGAGTTTTTTCTAAACTGGGCTGGAAATTGCAGCAACTGAACTTGAAGAAGCAGAAGGTGGAGGCTTATCAGAGAGGCCAAGGTGCAGGCTCTTTGTAAGGTTGGACTGCAATTTGTGCAACCCACATGTCTCATCTGGGAGCAAGGAAGACCCCAGACCAGGCTGAGGGACTTCCCGGTCTTTCTGTCAGGAGATCAGTCACCTTGAGGAGGCCAGAGAGCTACAGCTCTCCTTACCTTCAGGGAAGAAGGGAACTCTTAGCCTTCCTGTGTGTGCTCCTTCTAGTAACAAAACCTGTGACAGCATTGCATTGTTGAGATGCATTCTTTTCATTAACATTAGCTTCACTCATGGTCTGTTTAGACAAAAATCATGTTTATAAGTTCTGATTGGTTTGCAATAATACGTGCTTAGTCTAGTAATAAATTTCCACGTTGGCAAAATCAGGAGTGAGAAGTTATTTGGATTTCTGCGTTAGGGTAACAAGTACACCTTGTCACCATTCAGAGTATTTTCTAGATGACCGACCATGAAACTGGGCTTGGAGGAAAGTGCCCACCCAGCTGCTGGCCCAGCATCTTGCATTGACTTTGGCACAGACAGTAGTATTGTCTGCTTCTGGAACACAGAAATAATCAACTTCTTCAGGACCAGTGTTTTGTTTTTAATCTGTTTTCATGTTTGAATTTTATTTTTTTTCAAAAAATAGAGAATTGAGGAAATTATGAAGCGGACAAGAAAGCCAGATTCAAATGCCTCAAAGGTAGTCTGTGTGCTCCTACCAGCAGTGTATAAGAATTCCTGTTTTTTTACATTCTTGCCAACTTTTTAATTTTTGTCAGTCTCTGGTGCTAATGAAATAACATTTCACATTTCCCTGACTATTAAAAAGGTTGAGCTTATTTTCTCATCTTTAGTTAGCTTTCATGTTTTTTCTTCTGTGGAATGCTTGTTTAGTCTTTTGCCCAAAACTTTCTGGCTGACTTATCTTTTGCTTACTCATTGGTAGTTCTTTAAATGTTCTAGATACTTCTCCTTTCTTGCTTGTATGTATTGCAGATCCCTTCTCTCAGTTTGTGGCTTATCTTTTCTTACTGCTGTTTGCTGCTACATAGATGTTCTAGATTTTTCACATCATGGAATTTATCAGTATTTTTGGATGACTAATGGAGTTGAGTCCCTTATTGGCCATTTGGAGATTCACTTTGGTGAAGTGTCTTTTCAAGTCCTTTGCCCCTGTTTCTATTCAGTCACCTGCATTTTTCCTACTGATCTGTGGGAGAGTTTACAAGTTCTGCTTCTGAGCCCCTTGGATATCTGTATTGCAGGTATCAGCCCCCAGGCTGTAGTTTGCCTCACACTCTCATAATGTCCTTTGATGAACGGAAGCTTATTTTAATGAACTGAAATTTAGCATTGTTTTTTCTTTTATGGTTAGTGCTTTCAGGGTCTCTCATAAGTATTTGTTTATCCCTCCCCAAAACGTCTTGTCTTTTGATGGTTTGCATGCTTCTCAGATCTTTAGCGGGGCTTCCGTGGTGGCTCACTGGTAAAGAATCTGCCTACCAGTGCAGGACATGGGTTCAACCCCTGGGTGAGGAAGATCTCCCGGAGGAAATGGCAGCCCACTCCAGTATTCTTACCTGGAGAATCCCAAGGCCAGAAGAGCCTGCCAGGCTACAGTCCTGGGGTTGTGAAAGAGTCAGACACAACTTAGCAACTAAACAACAGGTCTTTTTATCCCCAGATTCTGTGTTCTTCACCATCTGAGCTACAAAACTGACATTTTGCCTATTTAAAATTGCCTAGTTGTGGTCATTCACATCATTATGAAAATTTAGAGTAGAAATGTCATTTCTGAAAAGTGACGGCAGTCACCCTCTCAGAGAGCAGGTAGTAAGCACATTGACTTGAGAAGTCCTGCCTCAAGCAGCAGCCAAGAACATTTTAGCCATGGCACCACCTGGGCTTAGGGCTCCAAGGAGGCAGAGCCTTTACACCATCCCAGAGCTGTTGTCCCTTGGCTCCCATTCAGGGAAGTCTTTCATTTTTGGCTGTCTTTCCGTATCTGAAAGACACAACTTGGGTCACCTGTCCTGTCCTCTGTAGATTATTGGGGCTAAAGAGGTTAGATTTCTTTTTTACCTTTTAATTGAAATGACAAAAGTTAGCAATCAATCCAGGCATGAAATATGTCTTCTCTGAAATAACTGTCAGGATGACTGAATGTTAGATGCAATCATGACTTTCTTCTCTCATTGTAGGCTGCAGAAACATTGAGTGGTGATGCATATGAGGAGGATGAGGCAGATGATGAGGACGAATCAGAAAGTGACAATGATTCCTTTGATGACATGCATCCATCAGGTTTGCTTGCCTTTTGAATTCTGTTCATCAGGAACTAGACTGTCTAGGTTCATCCATAATTACTCTACTTGTGAGCTGTTTGAGCAAGTTACTTAACCTCTCTCTGTTCAGTTTTCCTGTCTGAAAAAGGGGAAGTAATATTGTTCTCCTGGGGTGGGCATGAGATTGCAGTGAGGTCCCGTAGTACTAAGAATGGTGCTTGACACATAGTAAACTCTCAATAAATAATAGCTGCTGCGACACCTGTTCTTTTGTTTTGTGCTGAGAGACTGTAGATGGCAGCTCTTTCTCAGCTCAGTGTGAGGCTTACTAGCATCTCAGAGTTTAGGACCCCATGTGGCATTCATGACTGACCACAGGTAGAAGGCCACTCCCTGGCCTACAGAGAGAAAATGCAGATCCTGTTGCTCTATGAGTGCCCCTAAGGTACATTGTTGAGTCTCATTGCCTGGTGAGTATGAACCACAGTAATGGCATTTGAGAAAACACAATTTGTCCACCCTTTATGCCTTAGCAGGTATCAGGCACATGAATTGGGAACCCTGCTAGCTACTGGGGCCTCGAGGAACCTCAGCCAATGGGGAGCCAGACATGAGCAGATGGTGGTGCTGCCATATGCTGGCTGCACTAAAAGAAGTTAGGCCAGAATGTCACTAGAACAGAGCAGCAGGAGCAGCAGAGGGGTAGGCTGGGCCTTAGGTCATTGAGAAAGGCTAAGGTCAGAGGTGAGACTAAAATGAGAGGATCATCAGAAAGAGGGACAAGAAGCACGGAGCTGTCCTGCCCTCTAGCCATCATTACTTGCTGGCAGAGGAGAGGGCACGTTCCTTAAAGGTAGCCACACCTTTGTGCTTTCAGGGCACAGTGGGCTTTTGCCCTGACCCTGCCTCCCCAGAGTCCTGCCTCCAGACAACTCCTGTCTTCAGGTAGATGTCCCTTGCCCAGACTGACAGGCTCACAGCCTCCACTTTGCTTGTCTTTATTGTTGAAACTCCAATTTTAATCTTGCTGCTGTTTTTTTTCCCTCTAGCTACTATAAATGGCATGGATTCATCCCCAAAACCAAAAACACATGTTAAAAATGTGAGGAACACTAACAAGTTTTTAGATGTGACTTCTAGCCAAATCCATAAAGAAGAGACAAAAGCATTTTTAAATACTGACATGAAAACCTTCAGACAAAAAACAGTGAAAGACCCTTTGAATCAGACAAAGAGTACCAGGTGAGTCACTCAGTGAGTTCATCAGAGTACACCTGGAAGGGGTTAGGATGGGCATCCTTAGAATGATGCACAGGATTACTGACTGAACTCTTAGTTTGCCCCAAACAATATGTCACGCGCTCTATTGTAGGAACAAACTCAGGAAGGATGGGCACCCCTATCCTTACAGACTCAAAGACCGAGGCCTGGGCTTCCCTGGTGGCTCAGTGGTGAAGAGTCCACCTGCCAATGCAGGAGACATGGGTTTGGTCCTTGATCTGGCAAGACCCCACCTGCCATGGAGCGACTCAGCCCATCCACCACAATTGTTGAGCCTGTGCTCTAGAGCCTGGAAGCCACAACTAATGAGCCCCACTTGCCACAACTACTAGGGCGTGGCCCTTGCTCACCACAACTAGAAAGCCTGTGTAGCAACAGAGATCCAGCACATCTAAAAAATAAATAAAATAATTTTTTAGTGAAAGAAAACTGAGAAATGGAGAGATTATGAGCCTTATTCAACCCAGCATCTCACAGTTCAAGGGCAGAACGTAAATTCAACCCAGATATACCTGATTCCATTCTGAGTTTTTATTCACACTGGTTAGTGTTGTCTCATACAGTCAGGGAAGGGGACGTTGAGTGACTGCAGTGTAACAAACATTTTACCTATCTAAATTCCCATTGCAACTCTGGGTATGATATTAAAATCCTCATTGTACATTTGGGAAAGTGAGGGTCAGAGGTAAGGTCAGAAGAACAGGACCAAATTCTTAGAAAGGAAGGCTCATTGGGTGATTGCCTGAAAGAGTGTTACTTGCCACTGAGGAAAGACATCTGGGAGCCATTTTATAGCATAACCTTGAAAGTGACATCACAATTTCTGTCATAAATACCACCATTTCTGAAGGGGAAACTGATTTTTTAAAAAAATCCTAGAGACCAAACAGCTCAGATAATTCATGATCTAACTAAATTTGACTTGAAGGTTAAACACTTCTAAACTTCTTCAGTTATTTCTATCATCAATTTAGTGGACCACAATTATCCTCTGAATTTGAGTTTTAGTGTATTAAGAAAATAATAAAGCTTCTGTCAGGCAAAGCCTTGGTTTGGCGATAATCAGGATTGTAACCAAATATCTCTTTCCAGATCCTCCACCAAAAGACCAACCAACCGAGCAGCAAAAACTGGAAAGGCGGAAACCAGCAGCACCATGGGACCTTCCAAGAGTTCACATTCAGAGGTACAGAAGTGGATGTGTGACCAAATTATCGACTTCTCAAGAGAGACAGAACCACCTGTGTCCAGTTTCCCTCCTGAGAGCCCAGAACACCAGCCGAGAGGCTCTGTGACATCCTGCTCGAGTCACCAGCCACCTATAGACAACAAAAACGGAAGCAAATCTGTGCCTGCTCCATCAGGTAACGCCATCTCCCATTTCCACTTCGTTTGAAAGTTAGTTGACCTTCAACCCTCCTCTGTTTCCAGCTGTGCCAGGGCTTGGCACCATGTAACCTTGGAGGTAAGGGAGAAGACAGTGGTGGGTCTAAAACTAGGTTGAAGAGCCCCCCTTTAAGTTAGTTTTGAGAACATTCATGACATGACCAATTGTTAAGTCCTGCATTTCATGCCAGATATACAGAGTAGGTTCATTTCAAACAGTGGACTCCTCTGCACTCCTGATCTACTGGCTGCTCTGCAGCACACAGATTATTTAGGGCAGTGGTGGGGGTGGGGGTGTGGTCGCTAAGTCATGTTCAACTCTTGCAACCCCATGGACTGTAACCCGCCAGGCTCCTCTGTACATGGAATTCTCCAGGCAAGGATACTGGAGTGTGTTGCCATTGCCTTCTCCAATTTAGGACAGAGGGTTGGCGAATTTTTTGGAATTAGTCCCTCAACTTGTGTTTCCAAAACCAAAAGGCCTTGGTTTTTCTTTCCTTGAGAAGCTCTGTTTGAAATTGAGAGGCAGCTTCAACCCATTTAAAGGTTGGGGAGCATTTATAAGAGCACCAGTATGGCAGCAACTTGGGGTGGGAGGGGTTGCTACTGAGGGTCCCAGGCCGGCCTCAGTGTGGGGCGAGGATCCACTTGGTGTGGAACCAGCATCTTCACTAACAAACCTTTCTTTTCTTTTTCCCTCTGGTCAGATATGTAAACCTCATCCAGCCTAGAGGAGAATCCATTCTCCACTCTGGATTTTGACCTCCAGGCCCACCTTTCAAAACTTCTCTGCTTCCTACATGAACCCGGCAAAGAAAATGACTCTCAAAAAAAAATCATCTTAATGTATCTCAGAAGATGCTCATATCATCTTGGGTCTTGCCCATAAGCAAGGGTTCTGAGTAAAGAGTCATTTTTTTGCTGTAAAAATCTCCATTGTCTGTCATTCTTGTATTTTCCTGCCAACACATTTGTGTATCAAGTGTGTCTTTATAAAATGTTCACTCTTAAGCATATATAAAATGCTAAGGGAATCTTACACCAAAAGAAGTGTTTATATCAGTACCTATTTGAAATCTTGAGATCATATTTACTGCATTTAACAATTACATTTGTTTCTGTTGTTTAGTCACTAAGTTGTATCTGACTCTTTCCAACCCTATGAACTGTAGCCCACCAGGCTCCTCTGTCCATGGGATTTCCCAGGCAAGAATACTGGAGTGGGTTACCATTCCCTTCTTCAGGGAATCTTTCCAACCCATGTCTCCTGCATTGGCAGGCAGATTCTTTACCGCTGAGCCACTAGGGAAGCCCCAACAATTGCTTTAATTTAGCAATAAAAACTTACATTCAGTCTGGTAGAGAATGTAATAATGGGTCTTAAGGGTCTCAAGATTCCTCACACAAGTTTTGTTGGATTGTTCTTAATATACAAAAATACAGAAAGTTGCAAGATACATTTGTCATTAATGTATGCTTGTTTCTAACTCTGACATAGTCTGCCAGTCCTAGGCACAGACACTGGTACCTTCAAATGCTGGCGGTCCTAGAAGGTGTAGTTTTGGTTTTTTTTTTTTTTCCATCTTTCCTGCTTTTGTCAGCATTCATTTTGGAAGTACATATTGAGGTTTATAAAAACATGTTATTTTTATTGTGTACATAAGGCAGTATTTGGCTGTTGTCCGATGGGGTATGTTCAATTCCTCTACATGTTTACTGTGTATAATCCTTTTCTGCTTATGTTCTCTAGGCCTGCCATTCAGTGTACACTTAGGCTTGAGATGTGGAACCAAAATTTGTTTGCCTTTCTCTAGCCACTGGCTGCAAGTGAGTAAAGGGACAGTGTTTTTCTTCGGTCCCCGCTGTAGATAGGCACAGCACATACACAGTGGACATGCACACATGTATATACACACGTGTACACAGGATATATGTTTCCTGAAATCCACTGAATCATGCTTAAATGATTGACTAAAACTTGAATTCAGATTAGTTGTCCTAATGCTAATGAGTTTTCTGGTGGATCACAAATAGCTTGAAGCAGGCCCATCTTCCTTTGTAGCTAGCAGTCTTGAATTAGTAAAAGGAAGTAGTTATTCTTTCTGATTCCCTAGTTCTTTGCTATTCAGAGTACTGTATCTTTGTTATAGATCAGAGCTTGGTGCCTTAGATTTTAAAACCTTATATACACAATCTCTTATATAAAAGGCAGAGACAATCATTGTAACAAAATGTGCTTCTGATATTTTTCTGCACAAATTTTACACATTGAAACACTGTTAAACCTTCATTTGTGTGCTCTATGCAATAAACTTTGCAGGTAAAGCAAGTTTTCTTCATATTTTAATAGCAAAAAATGTACTGAAGGTGGTATAAAGGTGACACCAACTTGCAGCCAAGCTATGAACACAGGCAGGCAGTATGTTTGATGAATAGGAATCACCAGCCCCTCTGCAGCCACGTGGTGGTTTGGCAGTATGCCACTGCATGCAACATTAAGATGTGAATTTTGAACTCTGGTTTTCTCCCTGCACCTGTTTCAGTGCTTGTTACTCCTGCCTGTGATGGCTCTGACTTATATTTGAGGCCAGTAATTAAAGTATCTTTCTTTTTACTGTGGTAAAATTTACATAAGTGGCATTTAGTACATTTAAAATGTGCAACTGTCACTGCTATCTAGTTCCAGAATGTTTTCATTACCCTAAAAAGAAACCCAGGACCCTTAAGCAGTCACTCCCCATTCCCCCCTGTGCATCCCTTTTAAAGCTCACATCTGGTGCTGGCCACACACGAGGAAAACACAGTTGCTTTTGACAGTCTGCGTGTGTGCTCTGGCAGTCATTGTGCTCTGTTACACGTACATGACATCACTTCAGGACATCACTGTTACTGTGTGTGGCCAAACCACTGTTTGGATCTGCCCGTAAATGTTTTAGCTTCTACTCTGGAAACAGGTTCCACTCCACTGGGTTTTGTGTTGGATAAAGGTGCGGTCCTTGTTTATCCCTGATCTGTGGCATCTGGTGCTTTGAGAACAGGGGCAGCCGTTCCCCACTTGGCATTCCGTGCCGGGCCATGCACTAGGGTTGTTGAACCAGGGCATTCCTTGGTATGCACACAACCTAAAACACCAGTAAAGCACCCTCCTGACAGCTCTGAGGTGTTGGATACTGACCCGGCCTCCACGCTTACCATAGGCTGGTGTCCTCTGGGAACACACCGGTCACCTCACGTTTCCCTTGCTCTCTGGAGAACCTCTTGGTGCCCACTCCCCTGAGGAATAGGCCCCTGGCCTCTCCCAGTGTCACCCCTCTCGCCTCCCTAGTGTACAGTGAAGCCTTTCAACAGTTTCAACCCCCAACAACCACAGAAATGCAATAAAAACACTGGAAAGGATGCTGGACGAGTCTGAAGACCTGAATCCCAGCTGAGGTGGCCACAAGCCCACCAGGTGACTTGGCGCACATCATGGACCTCTCTGAGCCCTCTGGTGTGGCGAGTTGGAGGCTGGGTTCCAATCACTGAGGGCCTTCAGTTCTCAGGAGTCACCGACTCACTGTGACAGGAGCTAGGTTGAAAAGTGGGCATAGAACTGTAGCAGCAGCTGGTGCCAGGAAGCACAAGCCTGAAGGCAGACTGTCCAGCATGTCTTATCCAGGATCATCCAATAGTCCCCCCTCTGCCCCCACTGTCCCACAGGCCTGATTGGTTGCAGTCCCCTTGACCTCGGTCTCCCTCCCCACCAGCCTACTTCTGAGTGTTCCTGGATAGGCTTGTCTCATAATTTCTCAGACTGTTGTAATAACCGTAGTTACATGTTCTATATGCCAGGTACTCTAGAGGCATCATTTTAAACCCTCACAACAACCCTGTGAAGTGTGGGTATTCATTTTTACCTAGGACACAGATTTGTGGAGGTGGGTATTTGTTCAAGGTTATACAACTAGAAAGATGTGGTGCTCAAATTCAAGTCTGATTCTAAAGTCTTTTGGTTTTTGTGGTGGGTAATATACTATCTTTGGTGCTAGAGATAAAAATAATTGCTCATGTTTGTTGAATGGTATTCTTGGATGTTGCTTTTCTTGAATGCCAGTCGGTTGCCATGCTTAATAAATAAGCATTTGTATAATCATGTAATGTGCATGTGATTCTGCAAGGTAGGAATTCTGTCTTGTTTTACAGGCAAGGAAGCCAGCTCAGAGAGGTTAGGTGACCTGCCCAAGGTCTCATACTTAGGAAGTGGCAATGCAGCCAGGATTGGAATCCAGGCAGTATGGCTGCAGAATTTACCTTGTTACCGAAAAGTAGATTACGTTCTTGATACTCTGATCCTCTTCATTGTGAGGGAGAAAAGGGTTCTCTGCTGAGAATTCTGTAGCTAGAATTTCCCCTCCTTCCTCCTGAGTCTTCGGTTGTCATTGTTAAAACTGACTACTGAGCACTGAGCATGATGCTTCCCTCATTGTGATGTAGTGGACAGACAGGGTTCTCCCCCTATGACAAGGCAGTGTCATAAGCCTTAAAGCCTGGACTAGAGGTGTGCCCAGAGTGTGTGTGACCTTCAGTCTTCTCATTTGGGAAATTGGGGCACTAGTGCCAGTGTTGGCTGTGAAGAGTTGGTATAATTGTATAAGGTGCTTTTAAAGTGTTAAGCAATATCTAGGGGCCCAATGCTGGCAGGCCTGTTGCTGGGGGACACAGGTGGAGCCTGGGAATGGCGGGAAGTGTGGAGGGGGCTATAGGTGATCTCAGGCAGGGTTGTGCAGTCTAGTCATACAGCTTTTTCTCTGTAGAGCTCTTTAGCCCTGGCATAGGCTGGGGTTTTGCATGCCGAGTGGGATGGGAAGCAAAGGGTGACGGGATTGAGGATGGCAAGGTGGGGTCTGTGATAGGGCGTAGCATCTTGGGGAGGTGAAGATGGAGAAGGGCTGAGAGAGGTAATTTAGCCATCAGTAGACTGGAGGGCTAAGAACTAGTTCACCGAGATAAAGAGAACAGGAATGGAGGGAATGCCATCAAAGAGATGCAGGTCCAAGTGCTGCAAAGGCCTAGGATTTCCCTGTGCCAAAGCAGCAGGGGTGGGGCACTCGTGTCAGGGTCTCCCCCTGGGGCCCCCTTGGGCTCCAGCCCTTGCCACTGCCCATCACCCAGCTCCTTTGGGAAGCAGAGCACCATCTCAACTCCCCACCTCACCCCTACTTCTTGGGGCCCCAGGAGATGACCTGATAGACTCATAAACAGAGTTTTAATGATTTTAACTGCTAATTTCTCTAGGGAAACACACAAGAGGCTGTTCTCCATTCACAGAAATAACTTGCTACAAACAGGTCTTGATTCATAACGTGGCAAATGCTAGCTTCAAACACGTTCTGTCCTTTCATTACCCCGGGTGTGAGAGTTCCTGAAAGACCTCTGCTCCTGACTCTGCCTTTAGCTGAAATGTCCTTCCATCTGAGGAGCCTGCAGCAGACACCTGTGGCACTGGGCCTCCAGCACCATCCTGAAACGACTACGTGGTGTGGGCAGGTTGGGTACCCCGAGAACCTGAGCCTCAGGGGTGTGGCTGTGAGCCATAATCTAGAAGCTACCTCCACCTCTGTCCACACCATCTCCATATCCCCCACCCCTGAGATGGAGGGGCCCCAATGGGCAGCCTCCCAAATGACTGGTGTCCTTGAGCAGGATCACCTTCTTCTGAAGGCCTGGCAGTGGAGAAGTGGCCGCTGAGGCACAGCAGGGCTCCACATGGCATAGGGAAGGGCAGTCAGAACATAGACAGGATGACTTCTCAACACACTTCAGCTGCAGTTCCCTTCTTGGCCGACCCCCTGGCCAATGGAAAGCAATGTGCTCTTTTAAGGGTGATCAACATCTGGGAAACGTTATTTTGGGTCAGAGTGGGGTTTTTCGTTGTTATTGTTCTTAACTGGATCCAAGTGCTGTTATGGGTTTCTTTTATCTTGTTTATAATTCGTGTAGTCATTCAGGTTTCTGGATCTGTGGTATCACCTTAGAACAATTCCACCAGGCAGAATAAGAAGTCAGGAGGCAAGTTATTTATATGCTGCTTTATTTCTGTAAGGATACACGGAACTGTTAGATGATCATTGCTAATGACAAAATGTAGAAATGAGACATCGGCTTCTCTAACCACTCCTATGAGAATGTTAATATGCATTGTCATTACATGTGTACTCTTGATATTCTCATTATACTATGTAATATAACAATGTAACTAGAATACAGTAAATAGGGGATCCTGCGACTCAGGTAAGCACTACGTGGAACTCTGGTTCTGCCTATGGGCACAATGTCCTCCATGCTCCCCCGGAGCCAGCTAAGCTCTGGAGGAACAGTCCTCAGAATCACAAGAGAAGGGAATTGGCGGGCCTGTTTAACACACGGACACACAGCAGACAAGTACTATGTTACAAGGGATTCCACTTGTCACTGCTGGGAAATGTCATATCCGTGTCAATGATAGTTCTGGCGCCTGCTCACCTACCCCTCTTGAGTTTTATGATTACTTCTGTAGGATGAATTCAAAACTGTAGGAACATATAAGGGGGCTAAAATATTCTCATGCAAGTCTCCAAACCCATAAACTATGTTGCTATTAATTAAAACAAAGGAATTATTAATTAAAAAACAATAAAAGGACAGCTGGGTTAGTTTTGTTAAGCTTCCAAAAGTATTTGCTGTGATGACGTTCTTCTGAAACAGGCTCGTTTTCTCAGATCTGCCTACACTTTCCAAATCACCTGTACATTCCATGCTTGAAAGTAGGAACGCTCAGAAAACACGCCACATGGGGAAATCAAACATTAGTACAGGGGAAAAGGTCAGTTGAGAATTACAGCTAAATTCAAATGTTAATTTTTTGGAAATTCGGATTAGTTATTTGAAAGCACAAAAAACAGAAGGAAGGTTCTGATGAGGAAGCTATTTAAACCATGCATTTCAGTAAGTTCTTTCTGCTCACAGAACAGGGTGAGCAGCTGAGTTGGAGCAGCCGCTGCAACTCTTGTGTCGTGTGATGATAATGTGGGTCCCAGCTGAGCCACGAGGTATCTCAGTGGGGTTTTAACTCTTAGGCTTCTTGCTTATATCACTAAGCAGCTACATGGTCAGCGCTTTTCTGCTCTATGATAAACATGCAGAAGAATCAATCTACCTAAGTATTTGTTTCCTAATTGCAGCTTTGGAGAAATAAACTTTGCTGCAGGCTTGCTTTTTGCTAAATCGTAATATGATCACTGTGTGCCCTTAACTCAAGTAATAACTGTAAAATGGGAGAAAAGACAGAAGGAGCAACTCTGAAGAGGTGAA